ATAATAATAATAATAATAATTCCCAAAAAATCGAAGGTTCCCAAAAAGGCCTTGCAAAGGCCCATGGACCACCAGTTGATAATCACAGTTGTAGTTTGTTTTGTGGCTCTGGACACATTTTATTAGTGAGACAAGGAGCAGAAATGGTTCTGATGATCATAAAGGTTGCAAACCTCTGGGCTAGATAAAGGGTGAAAGTAGCAAAAGACTAGCTGGAAGAAGCAAAAAATTGATAAAAGTAGCAACAAGGAGGCTAAAAGCTAGTAAATGGTTAGATAAAAGTATTAAAATGCTAACTAGAAGCAAAAGTTAGCAGAATGGTGCATGGCTAAAAGAATGCAAAGGACTACCTAAATCTAAAATAGCAAAAGATTAACTAGAAGAAGCAAAATATTTGATAAAAGGAGCAAAAAGCTATAAAAGGTAACTGAAAGCTAAAGTAGCAACATTGTAGCTAAAATCTATAAGTAGCAAACAGTTAGCTAAAAGTATCAAAAGACTAACATGAAGCTAAAGGTATCAGAACAGGCCATGTCTTAAAGTAACAAAATGAAAGCTAAAGTAGCAGATCAGTAGCTTAAAAGCTAAAGGTCAAAAATAGAGCCAGTTTGCTGAAGCAGATTTTAAAGAGAATATTTTTAAAAGAACTGAAGAGATTGCCATGTATTTAAATTATTTTTATGACAAAGTTAATAATTTTGAAAAGTATAAAAGTTACAAAATCAAAAGTCACAGCACCCATCTCCACAACAAGCTGAATATTTTGACAAGAGTGGCTGAATCAACACAAAGTATGTAGCAGTAGCTAGACTGCAAAAAATGTACAGAAACACAATAAAACATGGAAGTAATAGTATGATTACAGTAACCATATGAACAGATCAGAGCTTTAACTAAATAAAGTAATTCTTCATCTGTTTGGATCCTGTACTCTGTCACACCTAGAACGACTCGATCCTTCCTCTTTGAGAAGAGCTGCAGTTTCAGCTCAATTCATATTCAGCGCAGCAACYTGACGGCTGAAACGCAGTGAGCTGGAAGTGTTTGTGAAGACGAAATGATTGCAGCTTCTGCAGACTGGCAGATCGGGATGATTACTTGGAGCTTTTTTCACACCTTGTAGACACTTGATGACTTCATTATTACATTGTTGAAAATCACAGGAGAACTACGTGCTGCATACATATCAGACACTGTAGTAACTAATCAATACAACTGACTAAATAATCCTAATGTCATGTTCTGTGAAATAAATTCTCATTAGTTCATCTTTTTCTAAATTAAAAGCTTAGCATATACCTTGTGGTCCAGTAGTTACTGAGTTATTTTGCTAACATGCACACATATTAAACATTATAAAATAAATAGTTTTTATTTGAGTTTCACTGGTCATTTCAAATATTCAAAGTTGCTGATCTGAAGTTTTTTTTATGATGATTCTGGAAACAAACAACATACGAGATCAGGTTGAGTCTTCCTGAAAGTGAAGTAATAATTTAGCTGTTGTTACTGACAGATCGATGATGATGCCAATCGATTGGCCAGAATCAGCTGTACGACTGCGGGTCACATCGGGTGAGAAGACTGAGAACTCATTAATGATCACTGGACTCAACAACAAAGATGTGACCCTGTGAATGAGCCTTCATCTCCTGGACCACTGAACCACTGAACCACCAGACCGTCGGACCATCGGACTGGGAGGCTGCAGCAGCTGATGAGGCGAGATTGCTCGCGCGGAGGAAGGCATGTCAAAGCCACTCAGCCAGCAGTGAGGAAGATTTCCACAGCACCACTGTGAGACATCTTCATCTACAGGCCTTTTATTCACTGACTATTAATCACTTCATTCAGGGGCCGCAGAGAGAAAACATCTTTGTTTTATTGCTGCTGTCGGGTTCGCCCATTCAGTCAAAGTAAAGTGAGGAGCTGCAGGCGGAGACGCTACGACCGAACATTTCCTCACGTATATAGATCAATTTCAGAGGCTGGAATAAAAACAGGCTTTCAGTGAGTCATATGTCTGCTTTTTAAATTGTTTTTTAAAGAGCTTTGTGAAGTTTGTTAGCAGAAATTCCTCTGGTTTGTTTATTTCACCAGCATATTTCCTTCCTCAACGACATGCCGTTCTGCTTTTTGTACGTACATATGAAAACTTGTAAATGTAAAAGAGTGATTTTCAATGTAAGCCCTGATTAATGAAGGAAGAAAAGGATAAAATCTGCGACGTCTCATCTGAAATGCTTATTGAAATGCAAAAATCTTTTAATCTGTATTGAATCAACTTCACTAAGAAAGGTTCTGTGCAGAATGTCTTCCTTTGAGATCCATAGCAAACTCAGATGCTTTTGAATGCAGTCAGATAAAAGATTATTTAAACACGCACTGAGTTTGATTTCACATCAGATCGTTAGTTTGTGTAACAACAAAAGACGTAAAAGCACATCTACATAAAAATTAAACACATCCGTTTGATTTATTTACCGACTTTTTACTTTTCAGGTCGCAGATGGCTGGTGTCTATCTCCAGCAATCACTGTTCAAGAGGCAGGGGACGCCCTGGACAGGTCACAAGTCCATCACAGGGACAAAGAGAGACTTATGAGACAACCGACCACTCACACTCAGTCTCAGAGTTACCAAATAACCTAACATGCGTTTTTGGTCTTGGGTAGAAACTAGAGAGAATGCAAACTCCATCCAGAAAGGCTGGGAGCCGAACGTGTCACCTTCTCACTGTGAGACGACAGCTCTGACCGCTGTTCCACTCTTTTGAAAATACTGTGTACAGCAGTGGTCCTCAGTCCTGGTCCTTGAGGACCACTAACCTGCACGTTTCAGTTGTTGCTCTGCTCTTTACCAGGTTTTCAAGTAGAAGCCTGTTAATCCCTGATTAATTCAAACTGGGTTGCTGAAGCAGGGAAACGTCTAAAACAAGCAGGATGGTGGCCCTCGAGGACCATCTTTCAGGATGCCTTTTTGTTCATATTTGCAGACTTTTCACCCTGTCAACTTGTAACTTTTAGTTGTTGTGTATGAAAACACTTCTTGCTGCCGCCTGGCTGTAAAATAAAGCCGTTCTGTTGCAGCTTGTCATTAATTAACCAACTTGCTGGAGGCAGTAACCGCTCTTGTGTTCTTTAACTGTGGACAAACACTGTACCAGTATACGCATTAACTCACAGTGACTCTGATGTGATTCCCTGAAGGGAAAAAACAACATATTAACCACAACAGGTTCTTGGTAAACGTCTCATGTGGTCAAACGTTTCCCTGAAGGAACCCACAGGTGCTTCCCACGGCCTCCAGGTGAGCAGCACATGGAAGGCGGAGATGGCACCTTGCTCGCAGCACCACAGGATGAACGGATCAATAATTCAAACACGTCTGGGCTGATCTATTTAAAGCCTCCTAAAGGTCCGGCCCACTAAACCCACTCCTTGTTTGCCGACAGCATCAATCATTCAGCAGCAGAATGCACAAACACCTCGAGAACCGGATTCTGTTTAGACAAGAGACAACAACGTGCTCAGAGGGGAACTGAGTTCGACCGCTGAT